CTTTTTATAGCATAGTGTATTGGCTAATAATGATAATTAGAACTCTGCTTAGGAATTATCTGTCAGATACTGTTTAGTGGCCATTTTAGCTCTGACTTTATTTGTAGATCTTTATATACTATATACATTTATATATATGTTATAATGTGATATTAACTATAAAAGCTCAATGTACCACTACCCTTTATTCAAGCTGTTTCAAGCCCAAGTTGGTCTAACTTTAGGCAAGAATTTAGTATAAAACAAGAAATGACAAATGTATGTTTGAACAAGAAGGTGCGAGTAATTTTTCCTTTGACCTATTGTAGTAGTAGAAGAACTTGAGAAAAGACAGAAATTAAAGGAATAAGAGGAGAAGAAATCAGAAGCATATTTACAAGACAAGCTAAAAAAATTAGTTTTAACTTTATTTTGGAAACAGAAAAGTATCTTAGAACCAAGCGATTTAGAAACTGAAAAAGAAAGTAAAGAGCTATCAGAAGCAAAAGAGATAGAACCAGAAAGATTTTACAATTCATGCAAAGAAATATAAAAAGAAGAAAAGTGAGAATTGTCTACATCAGCAAAAAAAATTGTTAAAAGCTGTAGGTTGAGTATATTCTTGTTAAAGAAAACAATAAGAAACATTCTATCAAGAAACCAGAACCGAAAGGAGGTTTTTTAAAGACACAGAGTATAGACCCAGAATTCATAACAATCTTTTCTCGAGAGGCTAAGAAAACAATAAGAAATTAGAATTATATCAGAAAGGGTTTCTTTCAGCAGAAAGACTATTGTTAGCAAGATTAGTCCTTTTGGACACAGTTCAAGAATCAGAAATCCCAAATCATTTTATTAATGAAGAATTAAAAGTTAAGTTGGTTGGTAGAATAGAGGATTCTATCTACTTACTACAGCATGAAGCCGAATGCATTAGAGTTCACAAAAGACAAAACCTCGCAAAATCAGCAAACTGGAATAAGAAACTCATTAACACATATAAATTAATCGATGATAAAGAAGACAATGGCTGGTTATTTGGTTTTGAGATTAGAGAAGTCATTTGTAAAGAGGCTAAAATTGCAAAGAACAATAGTAAAGTGGCAGAAAATAAGTGCAAGATTGAAACTCAAACTCAAAATTCAGAACTAGACAGAGGTTCACAAGCCAAATTTTACTTAAGAACATATTGTAGAACAGGTCGAAGATTCGGTTAATCTAGAGATTCAAGAAACCTCCCAATTATAATGTTGTGAGATCTATTCAAAATCAGGAAGAATAAGGAGGAAAAAAAGTCAGATTGGAGAGGCTCAACCAGGGCAAAGACTCTCAAGATTCTTAAAAAATTGGCAGAAAATAACAAGAGATCAATAGTTACTAAATATAATAACAAAAGGTTTGAACTTAGATTTAAAATTTCATCTGAGTCATATACATCACAAAAGAAAGAAAAGAGAAGATCATCAACTGATTATGAAAGCAATAGAGGAATTCAAATTGAAAAAGTTGATAGTAGAAGTGAAGAATACGAATCTGATCTCATGAAAATTGAATTTGTTTGTAATAAAACAGAAAGAAGAAAAGAAAAGAGCAGTTTTAGATGTGAGAACATTGAACAATGCAATACCATACAAATATTTCAAAATGACAACTATTCAGTCCTGTGAACCTGAAAGTAATACAATAGTTAGGCTTCGAATGGAAAGGAAGAACATTCAAATCCATAGCAATGCCATTTAGTATAATATGTGCACCAAGAGTATTCACAAAAATCATGACAGCAGCCCTGATGCCATTATACTCACAAGAGATTTGAGTGGTGAATTATATAGATGATATACTAATAATTGCCAAAACGAGAGAGAAATCTATCAGATATACCAAGTTAGTGAGAGATCATTTACAAAATCTAGAATTCATGATGAACATGAAGAAATGCTGAATGACACCCTCCAGACAACAGAAGTTTTTAGGGTTCATAATAGATACCTAGTCAATGAAAATAAAGTTACCAAAAGAGAAAATAAAGAAGGTACAAAAAGAAATCAGATTGTTATTAAGATTGAACCTGATATCAACAAGGAAACTAGCATCAGTAATTGGACTTCTGAATGCAACAACAGAAGCAGTTTTACTAGCAAGATTGAAATATAAAAATTTAATGATAGACCTAAATAGAGCTCTGAAATCAGGTTTATGGGAAATAAGAATTCAATTGTCAAAGTCAACAAGAAAGGAACTAGAATGGTGGTTAATGTCAATGAGAGAGTAAAATGGCCAAGTGATACTAATTTCATTACCAACAAAAGAAGCCTTCACAGATGCATCCAACATGGGATGGAAAATAGCATTAGATGAGTTGAAAACATTCAGATATTGGACAACACAAGAACTGAAAGAGTCGATAAATATAAGAGAGTTGAAGGCAATTGCGTTTCTGATCAAAATAAATGCAGAAAATAGACAAACAAAATGATAAGAGTCTGGATAGACAATATGATAGTGTGATTATATATAAATAAACAAGAGTAAACTTGGTCAATATGTCTAAACTCAATAGCACAAAAGATTTGGAAGACATGTTTGAGATACAAGATTAACTTACAAGCAGAATATATTCTAGGAAAAAAGAATTGGCAAGCAGATACATTAAGTCACCAAATCATAGATCAGAATGACTGAATGCTGAATTTAATCATTTTCAAAAAAGTTCAGAAGATTTTTTATAAGGTCAAGTTTGATTTATTCACTTCAAGACTGACAAATCAGATGAAATGCTTCTTTAGCAAGATACAAAATCCAGAAGCAGAGAAAACAGATGTATTTTAAAAATATGGGACAAATCAACAGCATATGCAAACCCTCCTGGAAATTAATTCTGAAAGTTCTTCAAATAGTGAAGAAGCAGTGAATAAAGAAATTAATTCTGATAACATCGAGATAATTGTCTCAACAGTGGTTTGCAGAGGCATTACAAACATCCATCAAAAAACTAATAATCTTGAAAGCCAGTATGAACCTCTTTATTTATCTAAAAATACTATCAAACATGATGAACCCATTGAAATGAAATCACATCGCATAGTTAATATTTACAAGAACTGAAAAAATCAAGGATTTCAAAGAAAACTAGAGACTTGCTGAAACAATCAGAAAGACAGAAGACAAGGAAGAACTATGACAGTAATTAGAAGAGATTTGAGAGTTGGTGCAGTAAACAGAAAGTGGATTCATAGAATTGTGATTTAGTTATCATAATAAATTTCTTAGCAGACATGGCACAGACTGCATCTCTGAATTTATTAAAAGCATATCAAACAACAATTTCAACAACAAAAAAAGATCTAAAATTGTCAGAATGTCATGAAATTAAATAAATTCTGAAAGCTAAACAAGATTTAGATGATACACCAAGAGACAAACATCCTCTGTGCTAGGAAATAGGAGATGTGTTGAATTCAATGAAAATGGTGGAGAAGCAAGAGAGATTGCCTTGAAAGAATTAAACAAGAGAACGTTGATGATATTAGTGATAGCAACTATGTTGAGACCAAGATCTGACTTAGGTTGAATTTATAGATAGTCAATCTGGTTTGAAGAAGATTCAGAATGGACAGAAAAGAAATCCTTTATGGTGACTAAACCAACGGGTTCAGATTTGGAAAGATCAGGATGGATTTCAGTATTTAAGGAAGATAAAGAGATATGCCCTATATATTTAACAGCAGAACTGAAAAATTGGCATCAGAATCTCCAGAAAAACAAAAACTATTTATAATTTCAAAATCTCCATACACCTCTGCTAAAGAGGAAACTTTAGGAAATTAGATAAAAGAAACTATGAAAGAAGCTAAAATTAACATTAACATATACAAGCCTCACTCAACAAGGAGCACAGCTGCCACAACTGCATGGAAAAAGGATGTAAACATCGAATTAATCATGAGATCAGCTGCATGGGCAAAATCATCAACATTTAAAAGATGCTACTTCAAGCCAAAAGAGACAATTCCGTCTCAGGTCACTAATATTTTATTATCAGGAAAGATGAAGGAAGATGAAGCTACAAACCAACAGTATCTGACGGATGACTCCTAAGCAGAGTTCTAATTGAAGGATGGATGAGCTGCATAGCAGCGAAGTCTATCTGTAATTGGAACGAAACTTTGGAGGAATCCAAAGGATACTGTACCCACCACCCACCCAAAAAAAAAAATAAAAAATAAAAAATAAAAAAAAGAAAAAGAGAAAATTGACAGAGTTGGGCTAGAATAAAGGGTAGTGAAGCATTGAGCTTTTATAGTTTATATCACGTGATAACATATGTATAAATGTATATAGTATATAAAGATCTACAAATATTAGGTAGCTGCATGACGCCATCGCGCAAAACCAGGAACGGAAAGCTTTATTTGGGATTAGTAAATATGTTTAATTACAATATATATAAAGAAAATAATAAAAAGAAAATTTTCAGTCATTGCTTTAAAAATTTAGTATAATTATGGTATAAATCAATTTCATAAATTATTTTATTGACATTCATTTCATTGATAAAGCTTGGGTGATAGGATTGGCTGATAAATTGTTAGTGTTGGGTACAAAACTTTAACAGCTTAGTCAATGAGTAGAAAACGGTTAAATGTATTTCACAAATATGAAAGAGCTTGTTAGGGGTTAATTATAGTAGAGTTTTACAAATTAAATTTAATGTTAACTATAAATTTTGTAGTTACAAGATCAAAAACTTAAAATTTTGTAATTTTTCTTGTCTTTTTACTGCATTTCGATGTCAGAAAAGTTCGCTGCGAAATAGTAACCATAGATCGAGATAAGACAATAGTGCACATGATAAACATAAAATATAGTAAATAGCAATAATGAATAATGGACTAAAAAAATAACGTTAATTTAATCAAGTTTGAAACCTTTGCCACAACTTTATTGCATCATCTCTACATTCTTTACTTGCACCTTCATGTTTTAAAACTAATTTTAAGTATTTTAATCCTCGCCTTACATCTTGTTCCAATTTAAGTTTTCCATTCACATAAATATCACCCAAAAAATACATTGCTTCAGGATTATTTTTATCTTTTGCCAATTCTAAATAATATATAATTTCCTTGCGATCGTCTATTCTTTTATTAGCATCGTTAAGTAATGAAACCGCGTACCGGTATGGTGCATCAGAAATTGCATTCTGATATTGATTATCAGAAACAGTATCTTTATAGTCTTCGCTATCACCAATATCTGCACTATCTGCAACTTCTTTAAAAAGTTTGTATGCAGTTTTTTCATCTTTGTTTAGATAGCCATTATATAAATAATATCCTTGCCAATATTTTGCTATTGGATTGCCGAGCTTAGCATTTTCTTCAAAACATTTCCATGCAATTTCATAGTTTTTATCTTGATGAAATTTGATTCCTTCATTAAGGTCCATCACCTCTTCGTCATTTGCACCCAAGTCTAATGTTTCGTTTTTTAAAAGCGTTGGTTCGTCAAAAGGAATTGGACAATCTTCAACCAATTTTTCAAGTTGTTTATGTAAATCCAAAAGGGCTATTCGTTTTTCTGGCATGTGCTGCCATGCTATTTTATCAAATTGAATTTAATAAGATAATATAAAAAGTATCTTTATGGAAATAATTTCAACCTGCCTTTATCAATTAATTTAACAATATTTTCTTGAATTATTGTATTATTAGGGTTTTCGGACTTTCCGAGCAAAAGTTTTTCTCGTCTACCGCTTAAAACAAGTCCAGCAATTTTTTTAGGATCTGAATACCTTTTGTAAGGGATCTTTTCATAACAAAGTTCCCAAATGAGCATTCCAAAACTAGATGTGAAAAAAATCGATTAAAATAAATACAACACATTTAATCATAATGTCTAAAAAATTCGTATAAGATTTACCTAAACATTTCACAACTAAATGTATATTCTTGCACATCACAACTAAAAAGTGAAAATGATCGATTAAAGTAATACGTACAAAACATTTAATTGTAATGTCTAAATAGTGATCTTGGTCGATAGTGAAAAATCGGCTAAAAGCAAATTATCGGCTTAGCCGGTCAATTTTTTTAAAATCGGCTGATCGATTTGATTACTAGGATTGTAGCATTCGAGGTGGAAAATGAATGAACCTAAAATACGAGCAAGGTTGAGGCCAAAATTTTCAGTAAAGTCCAAATTAAAGGTAGGGTGAATGTAGATCATTTTCTATATAAGGATATCGACTAAAAAAATTTTACCCAAAAATTGAAC